AAAGAGGAATAAGAATACCATAAACAATAATGTGAAAGAGCAACAAACAAATGCGCACAAAGAGAAAGAGCGGGTAACAACCAAAGCAAACATGATAAATAACATGCAATAATATAAAATCAAGGAGGAAGAAGAAGGCAAAGAATAAGAGAAAGGACAATACAGTGCAACAAACAAGAAAACGGGATATATGATATAACGAAATAATAAGATGCAACGAAAGATGGAGAGCCACAATAATAGACATGACTTGGAAGAGTCATATATATATATAAACATATATTGCAACAACCAATGAATGTATGTACATTACCATACCTACCATACATATAAATTGGCATGGACATACAAACATACGAATAAAGACAAAAGCAAAGACTAACACGGACAAAAAATACACATCGAGAGAGAGTGAGAAGTAGAGAGAAAGAGAGAACGGAGAGGGAGAGAGGCAGAGAGAGAGAGAGAGAGAAAAAAACAAAAAGAGAGCGAGAGAGAGAGAGAGAGAGGGAGAGAAAGAGAAAGAGACAGAGAGAGAGAGAGAGAGACGAAAAGAGCAGAATGGGCGACTTCCGCATAGACGCTCCCAAAGGGAGCGTTTCTGAGAGGACCGTCCCTTGCCCAACCAACCCGCTGCCGGTAGCCTCTTCAATGCTCATGTAAAGTTGCCATTTGCAGTACTCCCTTCGTTGACTGCAGATAGGCTCAGCTTTGAATAGCACACGTAAGTTGTAACAGCCCTTGACGAAAGCTGTCAACAAAGCTTGTGGTCGGGCCATGAGAGTGCAGCGCAAATTGGACACCCACACACACACACACACCTACCATTTAAATGGCCGATTCGCAGTATTGATCCGGATTCATTCGCTAGTTCTCATCACAGGGCGTGCTCATAGCTCTTGCCCCTTACCAGTGGCCCAGGTCTCACAAGTTTCGAGCGCCGCGCGGTAAAAGACACGAAGTCCCCCATGGGGAGATAAAGTTCCTGGGACTGCACGGCGGAAGTTGTAAGCCAAAAACTTGGGCCGGCTTTTGTGGGATGGTGCAAGCTCGAAGGGAACAACTTCAGAGTGGAGAAAGTTGATGACAGCGTGACACTTCGCATCATATGGTAACAAGCAGTCCATTCAAATCCAACTGGGCAACTTACATAATCGTTGAGGCCAAAAGTGGGAAGAGTTGCCAGCTGTTTATGCTTTGACTTGGGCATATCAAAGGTCTGCGAATGTCTAGCCCTGGCCGAAGCAACTGGCTGATTCGACTAGGTCCCTGGTGCCACCGGCCTCTGAATGACAGGGTCAGCCTGGCACTGTCCTAATGAAATGCACGCGGATGTGGCTTCGCGACTGGACTCGAGCACATGCACATCCTCAGATGTCCCTTGTTTTCTTGGCATGGGAATTGGGAGAAAGACCTGGCCGGTGCATGCCCCTCCTGTTGGCAACGGTTGGCAACCGTCGTTGTGCGGTCAAATGGGAAACCAGAAACTGCTGTGCGATCCGTCCGACCAAACACCAGAGATGCAAGTGTTGATTTGTGTACTCTACGGAGGTGCGCATGGCGCTTCCAAGCTGACGGCCTCTGGAGTTCCCGGGCGTCCACAAAACATGGTGAAGTAGCGCTAGAGTGAACCATGCTCGTGCCAATCGATTTCGTAGGTTTGGAAAACATAAAGTTTTCGCAAAAAACACACCAGAAAAACAAAATAGACTTCCTTGCGATTTGTTTACGTATGTTTGCTTTTATTTAACAAGTTCTCCCGATTTCCGGCACCCCCCGCCTTGGGGTGGGAGCTTTTGTTTTTTCTGAGTAGGGGGAGCTGAACGTGCAACAACATGAAGATAAATGATAAATGTTGCGGAAATCGTATTGAAGTCATAATTGCACATGGTAAAACAAAAAATGTACTGAAACCATACAAGAAAACAACAACGCCAATCAGGCCACAATCCTACACATGCTAGAACATTCCGTTATTGAAATTGAAATGCCTCTGTCTTAAACGGCTGTGGGTCGGCTTACTAAGACCAATTTGCCCAACGCTGGAATGCAATACTTTGCCCACCTCATGAGGTAGCGCACTCCCATGAGAGACAATGCAGCCGAGCTGCGATTTAGCTGAACTGCAAGAACCTATGCGGTCCTGCAAATCTCCGACACCCCCTGACTGTTGGCATGCCCTTCAGCATGTACCCAAGGGGTCTGAAAGGGTCACCAGCCAACCCATGCGCTCCATGCAGTGGATTGCGCAATCTGGAGATACTTGGGCACAATGACTCTTTCGACGCGAAGGATCCTGGCTCTTTGCCTCTCGAGTTTTCCCAAGAACAGCCAATGCCGTTGGAGGCTCCCGCAAGCAAAGCGTGTTTCTGAAATCGACACAGGGTTGCAGGTCCAGCCAAGCTTCCGTCCATGTGGGGGTTGTCCTATATTCCTTTGCCCGCGATTGGGCCCTTGGGCCGCGCTTGCGCGGCACTTGCGCGTACTTGCGCGCGCACAG